GTCTCCACTTACACATATATTAGACTACTTGAAAGTGCCCCATAGCTCACTAATATTCTTTTCATTTTTAAAAATTCTTTTTCTCTTTTTTTTGTATACTTTCTCGTACTGTGTCTTCAAGTTCATTAATCTTTTATTCTGTAATGTCCAAGCTGCTGTTAGTTTGATTCAGTGTATCTTCATCTCAGATATTGTTTTCATCTCTAGAAGTGTAATTTTCTTTTCATGTCTCTGCTTTTTGAAAAGATGGAATTTAGTTATAATAACTGCTTTGCTGTCCTTCTATGCTTATTCTATCATCTGTGTTACTTCTGAGCCTGTTTTGATTGATTTTTATTACCCTTCCTCATATGGGTTGTATTTTCCTGCTTCTTTGTACGACAGTTTTTGATTGAATGACAAACATGGCAAATTTTAATTTGGGTGCTTAATATTTTTTACTTTGATTTTTTATTTTTGGGTACTGAATTTTTTTTTTTTTTGTATTCCTATAACTTTGATTTGATTTTCTGCCTTGAACTTTGCTCTGAGATGCAGTTATTTGGAAACAGTTTGATTCTTTAGTCTTGCTTTTCAGATATTTTAGGTGGGCTTAGAACAGGGTTTAGCCTAGGGCTAATTATTCCCCTTTACTGAAGCAAGATCTTCTCTACCCAATGTCAAGAACTATAAAGGATCTGAAATTTTCACCTATTTGGAAAGTAACAAGTCAGCCTGCCACAGTTGCATGGTTGCTGGGAGAAGATATGAAAATCTCAGGTCAGGGACAAAGGATTTTATTGTTCACAGTACAGCAGGAAACATGCTTATGTTCATGTATTTACTCTTGTACCCCATGTTCCATGGAATGATGCCAATCAGCCTTGTTCGATGCTGTGCGTGCCGTGGGTTTGAGTCACATATAAGGAACCCCAAGCTTAGGGAACCCCAATCTTTTAAATGTGCTGCAGGCAAACCTATTCAAACTGTGCTCCAGAGGGAAACTTTATTAACCTTTGTAGCAAACAGACCTACCCTCTGCCTTGGAAGGAGACACTATTCCCATCTTCTATGGATTTTCGCTATACAGATATCCTTGAAATTTTTGTCTAGAAGAAAAGCTGTCAGAGAGACACATGGTAAAATTTCTCCCAGTAGCCCTGTGAATCATGAGGTCC